GCAGAACACGCCACGAGCACAAACTAATGCGTCTGCACCAGCGACTGCTACAGCACCAGTTCAGACACGGCGCGACGGAACGGGTGTCACATTCGGAGGAAGGGAACAACCGATGGATTTGGATCAAGCGCGACGTCAGGGTCTTTGCTTTCGATGTGGTCAATAAGGCCACATATCATGAAATTGCCCTAATCGGCAACAAGCTCAACAAGTACAAGCCGCGGAGACCCCGGCAGTTCGCACCACCAATACGTTCGCACCACTCACATCACTTAACGAAGCTCCTGCCGCGATGGCAGAACCGTTCGACTGGAAGAAGGCAATCCACGAAGAAATTCGTGCGGCCATGAAGGGTTTTGCAAGCGGTCAGCCGGGTGCGTAGCCAAGTTGACCGAAAAGAATTTCACGAACTATCTGTGTTCCTGGTTTGGTGTACCTATGTATATACCAGAAAAAGGGGCGTCCGCAGAGCGGCGCGAAGAGGCACAACCCTCTTGCTTAATTCCCCCAAATAAAAAATTATTGCCTACACCAGAACATCAGACCGAATCTACGCAATGGCAGCGCCACACACCTTGGACAGCGGCTTGGATCCGCCAATGGATAATCAGCAAAGAAGCCTCGGCGCTTAGATTGCTGACTGAATGGGTACACTCAAAGAAGAGTGTTGATGCCTCTGAAGCCTGTATGAACCAAATCAGGCAGATGAAAGAAGAAGAAGCTATAGACTTCTTAAATGAATTGAGAAAGCAGCCCCGATTCATCCAAGGAAGGAAGGGGACACAGATGGACGTCCCAATGATCATAACCACCCTGGACACGCAGCAGCGCTTATCAGTCAAAGCGCTATTAGACACAGGATGTACTGGATCTTCGATTGATGCGCAGTTTGTCCGCGATAACAACATCGCTACAAAGAAACTGCCATCACCGGTCTCTGTCTATAATGCAGATGGCACGCATAATGCCGGCGGCGCTATCACAAACTTCGTTGAGTCAAGGGTGGAAGTTCAGGACCATGTAGAGCGACTCCCTTTTGCAGTTACCAATCTAGGAAAGACTCCAATCTTCCTTGGATATGAGTGGTTACAGATTCATAATCCGTCCATTGATTGGCAGGAACAAATCATTCAGTTTGATCAGTGTCCGATTACGTGCAAATACGTCGCCCAATTAATTGATATTGATGCCGATCATGAAGAGCCCAGCGATCCGGAGGCTCGCCTAGAAGAAGGGGATAGAATCTTCATTTTAGACCATGAAACGTACTTCGCGACGGGAGCAGCACGCATTCGCACCACAGCCACTGATCTAGCGATCAAAGAAAGTCTAAAACATGAAGCCAAGACCTTTGAAAATACCGTCTCGAGTCACTATCACGACTACTCCGACGTATTTAGCAAAGAAGACTTTGATTCTTTACCGCAAAGATGACCGTGGGACCATGCAATTGAACTTACACCAGGCGCACAGCCGATCAGCTGCAAAGTTTACCCTATCTCCGTGAATGAACAAAAAGAACTTGATGAATTCATAGAAGAGAACCTCCGAACCAGGAGAATCCGACCATCGAAATCCCCGTGGGCTTCTCCATTCTTCTTTGTCAAGAAAAAAGACGGACGACTTCGACCTGTACAAGACTATCAGAAGCTGAATGAGCTTACGATCAAGAACCGCTATCCACTTCCTTTGATACAAGAACTAGTGGACAAGCTAAAGCAGGCACGGTACTTTACAAAATTAGACGTCCGATGGGGATACAACAACATCCGCATCAAAGAAGGAGACGAAGAGAAGGCGGCATTCCTAACGAATCGAGGATTATTCGAGCCCCTTGTCATGTTCTTTGGCCTTACCAATTCCCTGGCTACATTCCAAACCATGATGAACGACATATTCCGAGATCTCATCAGTCAAGGACACGTGGTAGTCTATCTAGACGACATCATGATCTTCACTCAAGACTTGAAAGAACACCGCCAGATTACGCGGCAAGTTCTTCAGATCTTAAGAGAACACAAACTTTATCTGAAACCGGAAAAGTGCGAGTTCGAGAAGGCAGAGATAGAATATCTCGGGATGATAGTAGGAAAAGGAGTTGTTCGCATGGATCCGGTCAAGATAGAAGGAGTCATCAATTGGCCACGGCCCGAGTGCAAACAAGACATTCAAGCATTCCTTGGATTCACCAACTTCTATCGAAGGTTCATCCAAGACTATGGCAAAATAGCAAAGCCGCTCAGTTCACTAACAGGCAACGCTACTTTCGAATGGACCGTCGAACAAGAGGTAGCCTTCACAAACCTGAAGAACGCTCTCTGCACAGCGCCAGTGTTAGCTATACCCAATGACGACAACTCATATCAAGTAGAATGTGGTGCCTCGGACTTTGCCATAGGAGCAGAATTAGCCCAGAAACAAGATGGGAAATGGAAGCCTGTTGCTTACCTATCTAAAGCCATGACAGCTGCCGAAAGAAATTACGAGATTTACGACAAGTAACTTCTCGCAATCATGACTAGTCTTGATGAGTGGCGCCAGTACCTTATGGGCGCCGTACATCCATTCAAAATATGGACGGATCACAAGAACCTAGAATACTTCCGGAAGCCGCAGAAGCTTAACCGGCGACAGGCCCGATGGGTAACCGAGTTAGCGGAATACCAATACTCGCTGCATCACAAGCCCGGCAAATCCAATGGCAAAGCAGACGGACTATCTCGCCAAAAGAGGCACAATGCAGGAAAGGAAGACAATTCAGATATTGTATTACTAAAACCAGAACATTTTCGTGCCCTGATCCGTAGTACCGTATTTAGTTTGGAAGGAATTGACCAGGACTGGGTCACAGAAATTAAAAAATACAAAAAGAACCAAGATTCGCTAGTTACCGCAGCTTTACAGAACAAGGACAAAGACTGGAACGAAGATAGTATCGGACTTGTAACGTGGAAGAACCGTATTTACGTACTGGTAAATAGAAAACTCCGTGAGCAGATCATTGCTCACCATCATGATACCCCATTGGCTGGACATCCTGGTCAATACAAGACGCATGAAATGGTCACGTGCAACTACTGGTGGCCCCGAATTCGAGAAGATGTCAGGAAGTATGTGGCTGGATGCGAGAAATGCCAGAAGACCAAGGTCCATACGACACGACCTACTGGACTTTTATTTCCAAACGAAATTCCTTCACGACCCTGGGAAGTAATCTCCATGGACAAGATAGGCGTATTACCGGATTCCTTCGGGTACAATGCGATTCTCGTAATTGTCTGCATGTACTCTAAGCAGATAATCACAATACCAAGTACTATTGAACTCAATGCCGAAGGGTGGGCAAAAGCACTTCGAGATAACGTAGTCGCACATCATGGATTACCCCGAAAGATCATCAGCGATAGGGGAACTGAATTCAAGAATCAGTTCATCTCAGAGTTGTACCGATCCCTCGGAATTGAAGTGAACCCCTCGACCGCGTATCACCCCCAGACAGACGGGCAAACGGAACGCATCAATCGCGAGATAGAACAGTATCTCTGATTATTCATCAACTACCGACAGGCAGATTGGGCTGAATGGTTACCACTCACAGCCTTTTCGTATAACAATAAAGTTCACTCATCCACCGGATATACCCCGTTCTTTGTCAATAAAGGGTATCACTCTTACAAAGGAACCCAACCAGTGCAAGAAGGACTAAGCAAAAATTTCCAACAATTTGTCGATAGAATGGATCGAGTACGTGAAGATACTAGCGCGGCTATCAGTCTAGTGCAGGAATCTATGAAGCGTTTCTACGACCAAAAGAGGAAGAGTGGACCGGAGTACAAAGTTGGAGATAAGGTTTGGCTAGAAGGGATAAACATCCGAACCGACAGGCCAATGAAGAAGCTCGACGATAAGCGATATGGACCCTTCAAGGTCAAACGCAAAGTCGGCGCTTCTGCCTATGAATTGAAACTCCCACGTCAATGGAAACAACACCCCGTTTTCAATGAAAGCCTTCTCAGTCCCTTCCAAGAACCCATGTATCCCTCTCAGCCACGTGAACCGGTAGTCCCTGACCTCGTAAATGGCGAGGAAGAATGGGAAGTCGAAGATATACTTGACTCTCGCCGTGATCGAAATGGAAATCTTGAGTATCAGGTTCTCTGGAAGAATAGCCCCCATGGTAATTGCCGTTCCTGGGAATCACGGGCAAACTTGACCAATTGTCAAGAACTCCTACAGGAATTCCATGCAAGACGGCCCGACAAACCCGCACCCATGACAATTCGAATTCTCCCTTTGTTAACACGACCCGTTCACATACTTACCCGTGATACCACTCTTTTGGTACAACGAATGGGTGGAATTCTCCCGAAGCAAGGATCCGAAGAATCCGCTGGGTTTGATCTTTACTCGGCGGAAAGCGTCAAAGTACCGGCACGAGATCGCAAGATTGTCGGCACCGGCATAGCAATGCGTGCCCCTCATGGAACTTACGCACGAATTGCGCCACGAAGTGGGTTAGCGGTCAAAGGGATAGATATCGGGGCTGGAGTCGTCGACCGAAATTATACCGGAGAAGTACGCGTAGTGTTGATCAATTCCACAAATCAACCCTTCCAGGTACGCGTCGGCGATCGAATCGCACAAGTCATTTTGGAATGCATTGCGTCATGCGATATCGAGGAGGTGTCCAGTTTAACAGAGACTCAACGAGGGTCGGGAGGTTTTGGATCGACAGGTAAATAATCGTGAGGACATGATTCTAGATGGGGGGGTAATGTTATGAATATTACATATTCCGGATGGTTCTCCCGGATTCCATGGTATTCTTTTACTTTCTATACACCTCCGTATATTCGTAGGATATTCTAGGTATTCAGTCTGACATGTATATAAAGAGCTCGTACTGCTCAATAACAAGCCAGACTCGAGCTGGTCTTTCCTCACTCACATTCCTCTCGTCTGTCTCCTCAGCATTGTCGTAGCTCGGTCCAGTTGGATTGTTAGTTGCTGACAGTCGACGATATGGATGCGCCGTGCACTAGGGAGGACGTCTTTGGTCGCGAGACTGAGCTAACCATGAGGCGTACATCGATTTGTACCCAAGAGGATAGGGCTGTAGAAGATGAAGAATTGCTGATCTTGATTTTGAATTCCTGGCTCGACCGGAGATTGAGCAGCGCGAAGCAAAGCAAGAATCAGCTGGGGAGGCCTCACCTTGCCCTCCTCGCTTGCTATCCAACATGTGATGGTGTTCTCGCTCTCGTTAGCTATGGCGTATTCGTCAGACACGCGATCCTCGACGAGGACAGACACTTGCACGTCGTTGTACTTCATGTGTTGGGTTGGGGACCACACTAAATTCCTAGGATGGCCAAGCGAGGTCGTACGGGCGCCTGAAACTTTGATTGAAGTCTCCGCCAGAAATCTGGCGGCCGATTATACATCGATATTTACTCG